CCTTTTAAATAAAGGCTTGATGACTTTCCAGTTTACTTGTCAAGGATATTGTTTCTCATTTATGTGGTTTGCCCACCTGTTTTGTTGAAAGCCTAAATAAATGTATTATCTTGCTTTTGAATGTAATTATTTTCCCCATTTAGAACTTTTGTCTTTGTATACAAATATTTATTTGATACTTCTGCTGTTTCAGTTCTCTAACAGTCATTAAAAAATCTAAATCTGTAAAACAGTTTCACCTACTTATTTCCATTGCATCACTTCTCTATAGCAGGTCTTTCCTTTCTGAAACTGATAACAACCTTAATGCTAGATAGAATCGCCCTAATCAGCAATGGCATTACTGAAACCACAGGCAAGAGTGGGTAAATTCCTCCATCCAGCACGTTATAGATCTGCGCTTGGATATCCAAGTCCTGTTAGGACAAATGTGGAAAGACCCAGCGTCTTTATATACTGTAGTTGTGCTGTGATGCTTTTGTTGCGTTTGTCCCTTTGAAAATGAGCAGTAGACATATGAAAATGCAAAACTCTAGAACTGTGGATTCAGAGATGATACCTTTTTATTAGACCAACTAAGAAATCGCCAAAAAAATCTTTTTCTGCAAGCGTTTGGGCACGTGTGCCTTTCCTCAAGCTCAGGGAAAATTTTAAAGATTGTACGAAGTCCCATAGGTAGTAAATAAAATACAGGTATGTCCCTGAAATGCAACATTACATTGGAGGGTATCAGAAGTGTAGCAGTCTCTGCTGAGCCCATCGTGGATTATTGCTATATAAAACATTTCCAGGATGTCAAGGTAACTACAGAAGCAGTAAAGTTAGGCAGCCCGGGCCTTTCCACATGAAGTCCTTGGTAATGCATAAACAGTGTCTCCAGTATACAGAGGCAGCTCTTTTCTAACTTCAGGTGCCTGACTTTGCAGTCTTAATATCTTTGTAATGAAGCTTTGGTGTTTTAGAAGGGAATTGTAGAAGATAGCCACAGAGCTAGGAGTCCTGAACTGAATTCCTTGGTAATATAAATACCCAGTCTAGAGGGATTTGCCTGAGGAAGTGGTTAATGTTCACAACTCCCTTTTGAGGTGGATAGGAATTTGATGTACAGACTGCTTCTGGAAAGCAGGTCCTGAGGATGCTAACTTTTTATTATTATTATTTTGTAAGATGCTGAGCTGTCACTGGCTCCCATTGAATCCGGCAGAAGTTCTGAGTGCAAAGTAGCTCTAGAAACCAGGTCCTTTACTGCTGTGTCTGTTTTTCTGTATTTAAATAAACTTTTTGAAAATGGGTATAGTGATACGGCCCTATATTTAGGAGTGTTTTGAAGCTTATCTCTGAGTTCAGGTGCTTGGGGGGAAGTGCAGTGCTACAGAAATGTCAAGTAGTTGAATGTTCTTTGGAGTTCATTGTCCAGTTTCAAATCAGTGTCTGCAATTGCCACTGCTGCTCAGATGCAACCATAGTAATTGTTGGTTAAAGAAACTTAATCTTCATCTAGAAGTCTGCGATAAATAAAAACTGAAAGATCTAATTTCATTTGATGCTGTAGTACTTGATATCATTTAAAGCTAAGCTCTAAAGTAATGCATTTTTTTTTTTTTTCCTCTGGGGCACAAACTGCTTTTTGGAATGATTTCTACAACATGATCCTAGTAATAACAAGACCAATTTATTAGAATATGCTACTTGCCTACAGTAAACATAGAAGGAAAACTTATTATCTTGTCTGCCTCTGGAAACAGCTATTTTGGGGCTAGATTTTGTATTCAGTTTCACTGGTAAAAATCCAAATAACTCCAGAATAATAATTCATTTGACATTAATGAATTTGCACCAGAAGGACTGAAAATGGAGATTAGCCCATTTTTATTCCAGCTTGCTGACTCAAGCAGCAATTAATTAGATTCCCTGGAGACTCACAGACTCTACATCAGGGGTGGGCACCTATTTTGGCTGGAGGGCCAGTCAGTAACTTTCAGTGAGTTGTTGAGGGCCGCATGGATAAAGTTGATGGTGAAGATCTTGTTTTAACAAATTTATAGATGAAAAATACACTAAAAATCAGACATCTACTCTAATTTTATTTTTAAAAAAATATTTTATTTTGAACTATTGTGCAGTTGCTTCTACTAGTCCAAAAAAAAGTCAGGCGGAAATTAAGTTGTTCTCCCAAGGAAACCAAAGCCAACCAGCTGGACACTTGGCCTAGGGAACGTTTGCCCAGCACCAGCAGAGCCCTGTCACTGCCAAGACACTCCACAAAACACAAGGGAGCTCCTGCCTCCGCCTATACCATGGTGGGCAAAATACAGCCTGTGGGCCAGATCCAGCCTGCCAAGCACTTTCATCCCGCATGCAGTGCCCACCAATGAATTGCACCCCACCCAGCCTTTCCGCCCACAAGGGTGGGAGCAAGGTGCTCACATGTACGCAGAGGCCCCAACATATGTTATTGTGCCTTGCTCCCACCCTCATGGGTGGAAGGACACAGCCTGGCCAGCACGCAGCTTCAAGGAGGGGCAGCCTCAGGAGACCTGCTCCACTTTCCCAGTCTCCTGCTGGTTCTGGACAGTAGTTAGGGAAGCAGGGCCAGAGCTGCTGCTGAGCGGGAGCATGGAGCTGGGGCTGGAGGCAGCACAGATCCTGTGCCCAGAGGGTGGCAGCAGCACACAGCTTGGGTGTTTAGGGTGGGGGTGAGGGGACCTCCCTCACCCCCCTCCATAGTATGCAGCCGCAACAGGCAGGGTGCTTAGGGTGTGGGTGCTGGTGCCAGGTAGGGCACAGGTCTGGCCAGCACTGCATATGGCAGCGACAGGTGCAGCCTCTGCCAGGCCATCTGTATTGCCAGGGCTCCCTGCCACTCGCACACAGCCTCCATACTCGCTGGGGACAGGAGGAAAGCCCCAGGCACTGGAGCCGGCTGCCTTTCCCAGCAGGGCTGTACAACAAAGGAGGGAAACCCCAGGCACCTTCCCCTGGTGCTGCATGTGAGTGGCAGGAGGACCAGCAGTGGTGGCTGCGCCTCTCTGCAGTGTGCAGCACTGGCCGGGGTCACGCTTCGCTGGGCACCAGCACCTGCACCCTGAGCGCCCTGTCTGCTGCTGCACCCAGCCCCCCAGCATACCTTGTGCTCCACACCACACGCACACTATACAAAACTAAGAATTTATTTTTGAGTGACTTAACGGATATGTTCTGCCTCTGGGTTTAGTGTTGAGTTAAGCCCCAAAATTTAGTGACTGATTTTTCTTCCATTGTTCTGTTTCTCTTGAATGTCTGTTGTAGATAGAAAGGCTGTTAAGTAAGTTTCAAAGCATAGCCATCTTTGCCACCTAAAACAAAATTATTTGAATGAGGGGAAAACGACTCAGAAATGCATCTGACCTTCTAGTGGCACTTTTTTAAAGAATACTACTGGTAGTAAAACGATGGCATTTACGGGCTCCTACACGTGTGGAGCCTGCTCTGACATAGTGGAAATCCAGTGCATTGGAGCAGACTCAACTAATCATTTCACAACCAGCACAAAGACACTGTGCTGATTAATGGAGTCTGCTGGAGCACACAAATTGGCACGCTCCGGCAGCTTTGTGTGACGTGTATCAGCATCTCCACGCTGACAAAATGCCAGCACTTTGAAATAAAACATGTCCAATGAGCTTCAGATCAGAAAGCCCTGCCACCATTTTTTTTTTTAGTATGGGGCGTTTTGAACCAAAGCACTTTGCTGTCAAGCTCATACACAAGCGCAGCTTGCTAGTTAAAGCATCCAGCGTCATGTCAGAACCACATATAAAAATGCCCTATCTTACTGTAGTTGGCATATTGCTTCTTCATCACAATGCAGCTGTGAACTGCATAGTCCATGGATCCATCCAGGATAAATCCAAATACATAATGACATGAAGGGGTTTCTCTACAGTGGCTAATTAAGTGCTTATCTTTTCTCCCCTGACTTCCCTTTTTCCCCCCCTCTTTTTTAACACAACCACTTAGTGCAGGTTCCAACCTAAATTTTATATGGTGGTACTGCATTCAGGTTGATGCACAGTTCTTACTGCACATAGAAGGACTTAATAGTACTCAATAGGGACAAGAACCCAATGCAGGAACATCAGACCAAAGCCATGGCAGCTAGAGAGAAAAGAGGCGGTCTCTAAATACAGATTCCAATCCCTTCCCTCCCCATTGGTGCAATAATTGTTTAATTTCACATGTATTCTCCTGCATTGAGAACCAGACATTGAAAGTGATCTTGATCCATTTTCAGGTGAGGGAGATGCACTAATAGTAAATGAGCTTCCCATACTGGGGGGGGAGGGGGAGGGGGGATTGAAGGAAGATGTTATTATTTATGTATGTGCTAATTTGCAGTTTCACCTTGTGATATTGGACTTCCATCTTAACTTACCCCTTTCCACCCAACTAGTTCTCTGACCTCACTATCCTTTCTGTTGCCTTTTAAAGCATTGTAAGCAGTGAAATTAAAACGTGGTGACCTCTTAAGTATAATCAGTATTGGCTTGTGAACTGTAGTACTTATTCAAATGAATGGGGAACTTCAAAGAGAGATTTAGCCACTCGTCAGACTCAGGTAGACCTATGTGTGTTGGTTGCATACTAGTTTTGAAGGCGTGAGGAGGCTTTTCAGTGTGAAGGTTTTTAAATTCAGTTAAACTGCTTTAAACCTAATATTGTTGCTTTGGTTGTTTGTATGCATGCTCCAGGAGTGTGTGGGGGGTGGGGGAGCACTTTAATTAGAGCAGAGCTGCTTTAATTTAAAGCACCTAAAACATCAAATGAAATTTAATTAAAGCATACCTGCTGCCTTTTTTTAATCTCAGGAACACTGATACATGAGATGCTGGAGTCTGGAGCGTGGTAACTACCACACTCTGGCAGATTCAACTTAGTCAAATCTGCTCATATAGGCACCTTTTTAATTCTAACCTTGGACCCATCTAACCTGTACTGGGTGTTTAATTTCACCTTTCCAGAAACCATTGGAAATGAGGAAGCTGACGATGAAGATGATGACGACGATGATGATGATGACGATGATTCTGAAGTTAAAGAAGAAAATGGTGTTTTAGTTCTGAATGATGCAAACTTTGATACCTTTACAGCAGACAAAGACACTGTGCTGTTAGAGTTCTACGCGCCATGGTGAGTCTGAAAATTGCAAAATTTCCATAGCCCTTGTCTCCCTTCTTTCCTTTCTAACCTGTTCCTGCTACATGATTGGGTGTTGCCCTGTGAAATATAAAAGTGAGACCTGAGTCTATGTTGTATATATTTCACTTACTGCTTTTAGATCAATAAGCAACGCTGCAGAAAAACTGCATAGTTAAACTCACAGGGGGCTGGATCTGGTCTGTTACATATGGCTCAGAAAGGGAGTACAGAAGGGCATTTTATTCCAGCAAGTAGAACTCCTTGCCATATCTGTCTCTAGATTTGTTTAGGGATGGCAACCTATTCCCTTTGCTTGCTGCGCACAGTTTATGGGCTCTTTCCAGAAAGTTTCACAGAATTACCTCTCTTTCCCCCCATAGGCTACCATGCCTTTCCATTGGAACAAAGTCAGCAGCTTTTGACAGTGGAATTTGCAAACTTGTCTGGTTCTTGTGCTGGCTGTGAAATGGGGAGTTGGGGAAGGGCCTCTTGTATCCTTCTCACTGTAAGTGCATGTGTTAGTCTAGGCAGAAGAATCTAGCTCTGAGAAGGACAGAGGCCAGTAACTGCAGTAGGGACTGAACAATGTCTCAAAATGGATTTAAAGTGTCTTGAGGCACTGTAAGGCTTGTATGTAGGAGCAGCCTGACCTTGTTTGCCATGGTACTCTACATGCCTGGAGAAGCAGTCATAATGTTGGTCAGTCCCTGCTCATCCTGTACGCTGTGTGTTGGGATCGTGGCAAGCATAGAGCCGTTTATACCAGCTTTTCTCTGATCATTGGAGGTGTATTGAGAGAGCTGTTTCTGGCCATGTATGTTGCCAGAACAATGTAAAAGGGACACTGGGCATATCTACACATGTACAAATTACTGCACAGTATGGGCATGAGTCTTCATGAGCATGCCCGTGCTGCACAGTAAATAGGGTGACTTACACCAACTTGAGCATAAATTTTGATACCTGCATCATGCAGGTATAAACTTTATGCTCTATTAATTACTGCACAGTAACACTATGTGCAGACTGACTTGGGACGAACTTTACTCCCAAGTCAGTCCACATATAGTGTTAATGCGCTTTAATGCCTGCATGTGTAGATGCCAGCCTATTCCCTTACTGCACAGTAATTTGCCACACAGTAAATTTTAAGTCGGCGTAAATGCAAGTGTAGAAACACCTGCTGTATAGTTTGAATGATTCCATTTCTTAGTCTGGGAATTTTAACAGTACCTCACCATACTTAGGATTGCAGCAGGAACCTTTTGCATATCTTGAATCCTTTCCCCCTCCCCCTCTTTTTTGGTTGTAATAATGCCTTTGCATACATTTGCACTTTATTGAGAGAGTAAGTATGTAAGGGAGAATTTCCTCTACCTAAAAATAACCTGAAATAGGCTCATTTAAGCAGTTAATACTGAATCAAATCTTTCTAAGTGGCTTCCTGTCAACTGGTATCTGAATGATCTCAGGTATGCATGAGCTTTTTGTGGGCGTAATTACTGTTATCTTGCAAGATGCAGCTAACAAGGCAATAGGACATCTGTCACGTTGTGATGTGGCCATACCTCTGCAATGGAAAAATACAAACTTCTGTTTTGCTCCTGCCTCTGTGGTTTTACTCTTCATTTGGCCTTGAGTTTGTCTGTTTTGTTTCAAATTTTTTTTATGTAAATGAGACTTACTGTCTCTTATGCAAACTGTGTCTGGGCAGCAGCCTCTGGTTTTTGTCTCTTTTTGTAATGGTCAGACACAGAACATGTGCGGTGATCTCATGGGTGTAGGGCTACTGTAGGCTCAGTTTACTTTTTCACACAAACTTAGCTGGTTCAGTAGGCTCTTCCAGAACCTGCCACTATCTCTGTGTGTATCTATTCTCTCAACAGCAACATTAGCAAATAATTTAAATAGGGCTAGGATATAATGTATAGCTTTTAACAAGTTTCCCAGATGCCTTTGCAATCACTTCAGTAGATAACATTTTTTACAAAACTTTTAAAATATGAATGGGGAGTTCACCTGTTTCCTTGCTACCAAACTTCGCTTTTGCATTCTCTCTTCCAGTAGGCTACACAGTGATTTAAGAATGTGCTTTGCTTTGCTTGTGTTTTCTCCCCAGTTACTTTTCAAAACCACCCCATGTCACTTTTTTTTTTTCCAAGTGCAATGGGCTTGTGAGCCGTGGACTGTCCTAATCTTTCCCCTAATGTTTTCCCATCAGAGCAAGAGGCAGCCTGTGTTTCTTTTTCCTGACTGCCTATCAGCTAGTTTATTTGTGACTTTGAAAATCATAAGCATCATTGAGATCCCTAGAGTGACCAGAATAAAGACCTTGATGCAAACTGGTTGCAGTCTCAGTGCAGAAAAAACCTTCCACACTTGCCAGTGAAAAAAATCCTCCAGTTATTTTCGGAGTAACTTAAACTTTACTGTATGGAAAATGTCACAATTTGGAGATCTAAACAGCTTCACAGAGGTTCCTAACCCCCCACGAAGCTGAGGATTTGCAAAGTATCTAGTGGTGTACAAAGCTGCAGTGAATAGCTACACAGGACTACTGAGGTGCCCCAGCTCATCAGAGAAGCAATATCCTGTCAAGTAAAAGTTTCAGGAAACATCTGAGCAGCTGCTTCTTAATATTACAGTTTGTATCTTGTGAGCCACCCAGATACAAATAACTCAAGTTCTACTGTATCGGGAACCTTTTTTGTTCTTTAAGGGAACTACATATTTGTTTAAAAGTCTTGAGATTACCATGGAAAAAAACAAGTTACTGAAATATACGGGTCACTAAATCTCTCCTTCTATTCTTGCTCTGAAGTCCTAACAAAAAATACTATTTACATTTGATTGAGATCCTGTTCTACAAGACTTTAGAAAGGCAGCATTGCAAAGTATGCTTTTGTGTTTACATCTCTTGATTATTTTTTTTTTTCAGGTGTGGGCATTGCAAGCAGTTTGCTCCAGAATATGAAAAGATAGCAAAAACTCTGAAAGAAAATGATCCTCCTATTCCAGTTGCCAAAGTGGATGCTACAGCAGCTACTGCTCTGGCAAGTCGTTTTGATGTTAGCGGCTATCCAACGATCAAAATTTTGAAGAAGGGCCAACCGGTTGATTATGATGGGTCCCGAACAGAAGATGGTAAGTGGAGCTTGTTCACTGTATGAAGTGAAGTCTTGCTTCTTGCGAAGCTTGTTAAATACACTTGATCCCTTGGGGATAGGCAAGAATAGTCTGTGTCTGAATGAACAACCCGTTTTGTTTTAGCCAATTTTAAATGAAACGCATTAAAGCCCAGAATCTTGGTCAGGATCTTTTACATATCCAACTGTAGTAAGGTGCATCTTTGACATTCACAGGATCTTCGTGATACGAGGCAGTTGGACTGATACACTGATCCTCTTTTAGGCTTTGAGAAATGCCAACTAACAGCAACCTTGGGTGTTGTGTATTGACAGTGGTTCTGAAACCACCGCATATTTGTCATTTAATAATGTGCCGTACCTTAATCCAGATTGGAGAAAAGAAGTTTCGGAACAAATATTCCAGAAAAGTGGTATAGTTGGGATCCAAATTCAGGAGCTTTTTGTTCTGAAATGGTTTTTGATGCATGATCACATTTTTTCCTTTGTCACACTTTTTAATAATCTTAAATCCCCCTCAAACACGGTCACAACTGCACTCTATAGGTAATAGGTGGTGCAGAGATACTGACTTGCTAACTGGGGTATTCATTGCCTTACAGCAATTGTCGCTAAGGTCAAAGAGGTTTCTGATCCAAATTGGACCCCTCCACCAGAAGCTACGCTCGTACTGACCCAAGATAACTTCAGTGAAGTAGTAAATGATGCTGACATAATTTTGGTGGAGTTCTATGCCCCATGGTAAGGCAGAGTACAAGGTGCTTGTATTTCACAGGGGTGACCCAGCTAGAAGGGAAGGGCAGCAGTGGGCTGCACCTGCCAAATTAAATAAGTGTTCCATCAGCATGCGTCTCTTTTAAAATAGTTTGTTCATGATCACATCCTGCTATTTTGATCCAAATTGAGTTAAGTATCTAACTTGGAATAGTCCTTACACCAGACTTTTTTTTTTTTAAATGGATTTTTTTTTCTAAGAAAATTGTGGCAATAAAATGGAATGGGAGTACACATGGTAAGGATACGCCATCCAGTTATCTCAGACTCTTGGTGTCTTTTGAGTCTAACCTGTATCACTGTTGCTTAATTAGTTTTGTTAACATGGGCTACAATAAAATCATTGATCATTTTTATGTAAAATGTAATCCAAGGTTGGGATCTAGGTCTGTACATACAATCTCAACAGGAGAAAAATTAGACTGTGCAGTTTTTTGCTTCCTGAAGCACCTGGATATTTCCTTGTAAAACAAGAGGAGCATATATTCTGATGCGACTAAAACAAGTACGTCCCTAATTAAAGTAGAAAGCCCATGTTTTGAGAAACTTAAGGATATTAAGGCTTTCTTAGTGATGATGTATTTTCTTCAGGCTAGAAATGTAGACTTCTCCACTTCATTGGAGGTAGGTGAGAAATGTCTATTGCATTTGACCTTTTTTTTTTTTTTTTAATTGCTTTAGGTGTGGGCACTGTAAAAGACTTGCTCCAGAGTATGAAAAAGCAGCCCAGGAGCTCAGCAAACGCACACCACCTATCCCCCTGGCAAAAGTGGATGCCACTGCTGAAACAGAACTTGCCAAGAAGTTTGATGTCACTGGTTACCCAACTCTGAAAATATTCCGCAAGGGCAAGCCTTATGACTACAATGGCCCACGAGAAAAATATGGTAAGAGGGCTTACTTAATGAAAACGTGGTGAACCACATATGTTAGGAAATAACACAATGTAGTACATAACTTGTTCACGTCACTATAGTATTTGCTCAGAAGGGGAAAGTATAGAAGACATGTAGGCAGCATCTCAAACTAGCCTACAAACGTAAGAAGCTAAATTCAGGAAGAAGGTACTGTATGGGCTGATAGGCAGCCATTGATTTAATTGGTTCATTAACAATATTGAAAAACTGTCAGAACTTACAAGATGCACAACATCGTATTGCAATTAAGGCCAGTATCTTCAAGCAGTATCTTAACTTGGCATGAGCAGATTTTTGGGCATCTAATTTGAAATAATAAATTGTCCCTGATTTTCAGAGCAACCAAGCATTCCTAATGCTGATTTGAAGTCAGTGAGAGTTTGAATTGTTTAGCTCTTCTGAAAATCAGTCTTGACTTTATCAAGCATTTGGATCTAAATCTTTAATATAGCTCAGCACTTTTGATTGCTGTAGAGTTCTCATTAGAAGGGGGGTTATCTCCAAATGAAATGTGGCTCCACACAATTGAAAATGTTACAAAAGCACAATATTCAGACTTCTTTTATTTTTGTCTCGCAGGTATTGTTGATTATATGATCGAACAAGCTGGTCCTCCATCCAAACAGATTCAGGCTACCAAACAGGTACAAGAATTTCTGAAGGATGGAGATGATGTCATCATCATTGGTGTGTTTAGTGGAGAGACGGACAAATCCTATCAGCTGTATCAGGAGGCTGGTAAGTTGTATTTTAAAAATATTAAGCTAACTTAGTTGTTTTCAGCCTGTCTGGGGTGGGGGTCATCCATTTCTTCCCCTGATCTTTAATTTAGGTTTTCTTCAATCTATAAAACACTGATTATTCTCTTGGGTAAAAGCTTCCCTGAGGTCTGGTATTTCTCTCTCCTTTTAAGCTTCCTGTCAGGTTTATCTTATCAGGAAAGGAGGGAGAATTTCTTTCTACTGAGGAAAAAGTTTTGTTTTTCTCTTTGTTTTTCTGCATTGAGCCCAACATCCCTTACCCTCCTGGTATTGCTAGTCTCCTCTGATGTTCCCCTGTAGTACTTTTCTCTGATGTAGGGAGCCAGCTGGAAGAAATGGGGTGTAATGGCTACAACAGGGGAGAAGGGGCAGGGGTGGGAAAACATTAGACAAAGCCAGTATTATACACGGCAGAGCAGCAGTTAAGAGAACTGGTTGGAGGAGCATCTAAGATGAGGCCAGATGCAGATCCTGCAGTGCCCAGCTCGTAGAAAAGGCCTTATTTCCCTTTAAGCAAGGATACAGAAGTTGGGAGAACGAGAACTCTTTCTAGGTGCTCAGATGCAGGGGGTCGGGGCGGAAAGGTTGAATAGGACTTATTTCCATAGAAGTATATGGCTGGAAGGGGATTAAGTTCATCTAGTCCAGGGCATGGCAATCCACAGCCTACAACTTTGTAAAGGGATTGGATCCATCCCATAGTGGGATAGATAATTGGCAGCATACAGCTTGTCCCAGTGTCGTCGCTTTCTCCATCTTGTGCTGTGCCATTGATTCCACCTGAAGTCCTGCTGCTGTCTTGCACATCCTGTTGCAAGTACTGCTTACTGTCGCTAATGAGTTCACCCCTCCCCACTGCTGTTAGGAGCAGGGGTCAACACTGCGTCATGGAGGCATCAGCAGGTGGCTCAGGTGCTGCAGAGAGGAGCAGTGGCCTGTAGCAGTGTGGAGGGAAGGGTAGTGGCACACTAGCAGCCCATTACTCCTAAAAAGTTGCAACTTCTGGTCTAGTCCTTCTGCTTAGCCTTTGGTAGGATCAAGCATACATAAATTTTCCTTGACAGATAATTGTATAACCTGCTTTTTAGCAAATTCTGATGATGGGGATTCCTATTCTTGGTCAAGAATATTGATTATCCTATTAGTCTTTAATGCTAAATAGAGAAGAAACCAGCATTGTTGTCTCTTTCCTTCTGATAGAAGAATGCCTGAAATAGTTAGTACCACTCTTGGCATCTACCCAAAGCTCACAAGGCAGCATGATCCTTCCTTTAGAGACCTGCCTGTGACTTGGCATGCGGGTGAAATAAGTACCAGAGAAGATGGTGACATTTTGGTGGGCAAAGCTCAGCTGTCTTCCGCCAAGTGAAAGAGATTTTTTTTAATCCAACTTTAATTTTTTCCCAAACTTTTATTTCTCAGCTAATAGCCTAAGAGAAGACTACAAGTTCCACCACACCTTCAGCAGTGAGATTATAAAATTCTTGAAAGTCTCTCCTGGAAAACTCGTGGTCATGCAGCCTGAAAAATTTCAGTCAAAATATGAGCCAAAAATGCACGTATTGGATTTTAAAGTGAGTAGATGTTCTCATTAGTAACCTAGAATAAAATGTTATTCGCAAGTTTATAAGGAAGGCTGTCTTCATATGTATATTGGAGCAGTTTATATTTTTTTTATAAAATGGCAGTGGTTTTAATATTCCATGAAACTTAAATATTTCTTTAAGGGCCTTATCAAACCCTGCTGAAAATAATGTGTGTCTTTCTACAGACTTTAGGCAGACCCTGTATATTCTTTTCCTAGTCATAGTTTGCTGATTTTCCTTTGAGACATGGCTTTTAATTTTATGACCTTAGAGTTGTTCCTGATGCTTAACTGGGGTAAGCAAAAAGAGTATCAATGCTGCTTTCTCCACACCCTATCAGAAGGCCTGACACTTTTTTTGTACTTTAATGGTCTCTTCACCACTACAAACTTCATGAAATCAAATTAAATGGCTAAAATACTAGAGGTACGCTGATACATCGGTCCATATCTTATCAGCACCAATAAAAGGAAAATTTGATGTTATCAGCAATCTGCCTTTTTTGGCTAATGTGGCCAATTATGTCACCAATAAATACCACGTGCATGTGCACAGCTCCACTCACTCATCACAGAGGCCTCAATCTGCCCCTCTCCCCACCCAAACAGACTTACCAGCCAGACACTGCTCTCCAAGCAGCCAGACTGCATATCAGCAATCGGATCAGTATCAGCTGACACAGCTTGTTAATAATTGGCCATCAGGATCAGGCCAAAAAATCTTTTTTGCTGCACCCCTATAAAATTCTTAATACTGAAGGGGGGTGAGGGAGGAGTGTGCATGCCTGCACGTGTGAAAGTGCTTGTGTTGCAGACTCAATATATGTCTGTATATAATGAAAATAACTTGAAATAAGAAATATATATTTTTGGACTAAGGGAAGCATTTCCTTTACTTCAAACAGGATTCTACTGACAGGTCTGAGATAACGGATCATGTGACAAAGCATGCTTTGCCTCTGGTTGGTCATCGCAAGACCTCGAATGATGCTAAGAGGTACACTAAGCGACCTCTAGTGGTTGTCTACTATACTGTAGATTTCAGTTTTGATTATCGTGTTGGTAAGTTAACTGGAAATGACATTTTTTCTTTCCTCTTGTTCTTCCCTTTTCCCCTGCAAAGTAAAATTCTCTTCAGAGAGATATGAGCAATTGGAAACTGCTAATCTGTTTGTGTTCTGATCACTTCAGCTACCCAATACTGGAGAAGCAAAGTCTTGGAGGTGGCTAAAGACTTCCCTGAATACACTTTTGCCATTTCTGATGAGGAAGATTACTCTTCTGAAATAAAAGATCTGGGCTTGATTGAAAGTGGGGAGGATGTTAATGCTGCAATCTTGGATGAGGGTGGCAAGAAATATGCCATGGAACCAGAAGAGTTTGACTCGGATGTACTCAAGCAGTTTGTTCGCGCATTCAAAAAAGGTAAAAACTACAAAACCCAGTTCTTTTTTCTTTCTCTCTTTCTTCCATCTCAATTTGGGTTGTGGCAGCAATAGAAGGTCATATGCCAACTTCAGCAGAATGCTATACCTGGGAGCTGATAAATATCCCTTTTGTTCCTTCGTGGAGCAATCTTCATTAACTTTGTGTTACTAAGACTACATATTGGTATCTAACAAATCAGTCTCACAATCTGTAAATTTTTGGCAAGAATTTTCAGAAACTGTTATGATGTATGTGGGAGAATTTTTTTTCCCCTGGTTTTCAAATGCCAGCTGTCTGTTCACAAGTATGAGCACCAGACCAGTACCATTGTTAGCATAATGAATCGGTGTATATGTGTTAATATATTGTTGGTGAAAACTAATAAAAGAGTAGAACGTTTTTAGCAAAGAAACTAAATTCTGCTGTCTGTATTTCCCAAGAATGTTATGTTAAAACGTAATTAGCAAGCCAGCTGGTTTTCAGGAAGGAGTTAATTTCATTCAGTGCAAACCATAGCTTCCCTTGTTCATTCTGGTGCAGCTACTCCGATTGTAGGGCACCAACATCTGATATGGGAGTTTTATTATTAATGTATCAAAACAAATTCTTATAGTCTTAACTATTTTTACTTCATAGTAATGGAGGGTTTTGCTTGTTTCCTAGGAAAACTAAAACCTGTCGTGAAATCTCAGCCAATACCAAAAAACAACAAAGGTCCGGTCAAAGTTGTGGTGGGGAAAACATTTGACACCATAGTAATGGATCCAAAAAATGATGTCCTCATAGAATTCTATGCTCCGTGGTGTGGACATTGCAAGCAGCTTGAACCTATATACACTGAACTGGGTAAAAAATACAAGAACCAGAAAAACCTGGTCATAGCCAAGATGGATGCTACTGCCAATGATGTGACAAGTGATCGCTACAAAGTGGAAGGATTTCCCACCATCTATTTTGCTGCAAGCAACAAGAAAAACAGCCCTATTAAATTTGAAGGCGGGGAAAGAGATTTAGACCATTTAAGCAAATTTATAGAGGAGCATGCAACAAAACTGACCAGAGAAAAAGAAGAGCTTTAGATGAGATGGGGGGTGGAGAAAGAAGAGAATAATTTGTACGTCGTAGTTAAAACAAGTTACTGACGCAATTTGTTGTGGGAAAAATTTGGCCGTTTTGAGCAAAGTGGATTTCTGGGCAGTAAAACAATTGCAGTATCTCTTGGGTTTTTTTTCTATTGCAAAAAGAAAAAAATCTTTCTGGACATTGAACTGCTATCTGACATGAATGTCTTTGTTAGTTATGATTTTGATCTCTGAAGAAAAAATACATGCTTTATTTTTTGTGACTATTTTGAGCTTGATTCTTTTTGATTATAAATGCAACTCTTTTTTAACTTAAAAGATTTACCAAATAAGTCTACCAAACAGGTTGGTTTCTGTCTCTTCCTTTAAAGTATTAACTGTTTTTGAGTTTGAATTAATGTGTTTCTGTATATCCACTCAGATGACTGTATCACTTGTTTTTGAGGCCCAGAAAAGAAATTTTAAGTGGTGACATCTCTTAAATTCGTGTTAAGGTTAGATACAAAGGCCTATCTCATTTTGGATTGTGGGTGGCTCCGTGGAAAATGGAAGTAATCCTAAAATAATGAGCATGGATCTGTTTTTGGTAGTTGGCATCTTTTACCAAACTCTATGCCCCCTCCTTATTTCTAAAGTCCCCTGTTTTGGGAGTGTTTCTAGTACTGGGAGCGCAACGGCTTGACATAACAGTATATCCTGCCTTGATTAGTACTGTGTTCTGATTTCTGAAAAAAATTACATCCTTTGTATGTGTGTATCTGAGTATATTGCTCAGTTTTTTAAATGTGAAGAGTTTCATTCCAATTGGCAGCAGGTTAATACCATATTTTCGTACAGGCAACATGCCTTCTTTCCTCTCCTTCCCCTCACCCTTAAAGTGGGCTGTGTCTCCTGAGTAGAGAAGCTGTTTTCTACTGGAAAACAAGTATGCCTGAAGACAGCTGACAAGAAGACTGCCACTTGTGTCTGGTTTATTTAGCTGAAGAGAGCATGTCCTATATTAATATTCTCATAGCTGCAGCTATTGCCTGTGCACTGTAGCTTGGGCCTGAAGCAATAGCAGGTGAGCTGCAGGTAGTATCTTGATGAGTCTTGTGATGTGGAAACTATTTTTACAGGAACTTTATGTAAGAACTAACAGTCTTGCTACTGCCCTTGAAAGGGTCTGGGGCTAATCTTGTGTGACAGTCAGTCACCCTGGGACAGTCTGGGTGAAGCAACAGGACCTTCCTGGTGTGGTAGGAAATGCCTGCTGCCTCACCAAGACCCGTCTCCTGGGGCCACATTTTCTGGGCACTGTTCACAGGAGGATGTACTCTGTTATAGTTGGCTTTGCCATTGACTCTGACTCTGGAGAAATCCTTCTTTTCCCCTTTCTACTCCCCCACTTTCCACATTCCAAAAATAAGATGCATTTTTTAATTTGGAGGTGCGTTGTATGTAGAAAAAATACAGTATATGCATGTATATTCTGGGTTGGTTTGTGTTCATACTGTTCTCTGAAGAAACCTTAGCAATGCCTTCGTTCCCTGTATATACAGTGGGCTGCCGCAGGACTTTCTGCAGCTGCCTAGCACCAGACTTTAGACATTCAGACCTGACTTCAAATGCACTACATTGCTCTGTGGCTAGTTCTGGGCATGCAGCCTGAATATTTGAGCGTGGGTTTCCCCATCTTTCCTTCTCTCCAAAAATGCTAAGTCTATTGGCTAGAGAGGGTTTTCAAGAATCGGTGTGAATGCAGCCAAATCAGGATGCCTAGCATTAGACAAGTGGTTGAAGCTTTTGGGTCTTGGTAAAACTGCCAGATGGCTCTTTGGGAAATACCAAAGAGTTTGGGTGGGGGGGAGGAGGTAGGTAGGAGGAAGAGAAAGAGACTCTTTGAATTTCTGATGAAAGGACACGTTCCTTCTCTGTCTCCAGACATTATGACACTTGAATTGTATGTAGCCCTCAAATTCCATCCAAGAAATAGACCAGATTCTGCAAGGGTTGAGACCTCAAAAAAGGCAAGAAAAAGAGAGACTAAAAAGAGGAGGCTGCAAATACAGTGTAACAGAGACCTTTTGGACTTCATCCTCCAAGGAAAGCTGCTAAAAATATCAGACTTAATACTTCTTTAAAATCCTGTTGGTCAAAGCCAATTAAGCAGCAATTGCAGCCTGTTCTTTGGAACAAAGTGGCTTCTGTCATGTAACCATTGTGACACACTTTTTTGTATGTAGTTTCAGGTGCCAGACGGTATGCTTGACTATACAGTCCTTCCTCCCATCTAATGGAGAAAAGTCACTTCAACTGTCCTTGAAACAAGTACCTTTTTCAGGAAGTAGGTTTTACAACAACCTCCAGGTTCATGGCGTCTGCCTCTCCTGAGAGATTTAATACTGCAGTGTGCTCCATTTGTGGCAATCCCACAGCAGTAATTCCTACTGTGTTTTGGGTTTTTTTGTTCAGAGATGGCTCACATGCTGACAAGGCCAGTTTAAAATGCTGTGGTACAGTGTAACAGATTCATTCCCTCACCCAATTTTATTCCTTGAATTTAGCTCATTACTAATGGGAAATGAGGTCTAATATAACGTGGAGAACTTTGCTCCTATCCTATACTGTCTTTGCTTCCATGTTACCTGAGCCATAAAGCACTTTGTTGCCTGGATGCTGAACTGCTGATCACGTTGTGGGTGTTCCTGTATTGTCAGCATACCTGTTCAGTCATGTTCATAACCAAGTGGGCATGCACCGAATTATTTTTTTTTAAATTAACCAGAGAATGCTTTGGGGAAGAGTACTTGGATATCATAGAAGGCATCACAGAAATGTGGGCTGCTGATTCAATCAATTCTGATTTATTTACCCATCAGAGCTCATAAGTACTTGGCAGCCCTACCAAATCAGGCCTGAATCATTGCTTTGTTTTTAGACACTACACTCATTCCCTTTTCATAAGACAGCCCTCTCCTGTCAGAAGACTCAAATTCCATCCAAGGAAGGATGCTGAAAGGATAGTGCTGCTTCCATTTCTAGGGTCCAGAACTTTTACTACTTGCGGTGTGTGACTCTTGCACCCTGGCCGCAGGACATGAAATCCTTTCTCGGAGCTATAGGTATTGACCTACCTTTTTGCTTTTGAATCTGTACTAAAACGTAATTGTCATCATGCTGAAATCAGCACATTATTTTGTAATTGTTTAAAGCGCCCAGAGATGCCTTCCTCACAATTGGCATACGGTATAAGTCATCCCATATCTTTAAAAATAGATGGTTTATGTATGACCCTTCCCAGTGGACAATAAAAAGCACAGACTGCCCTTTTGTGTGAAGAATGTTAATCAAGCTTTGGCTTGGAGTTTTCTGGTCTTATACTTCCCCTGTGAACAGAAGGATGCTAGAGCCTACAGCACAGGGACTGGATTTTTTATCCTGTATTGGAATGGTGGAGCTGGGCTGTGTAAGGGTGATGAAAGAGTTGGCTGTAGCAGCATTTACTAAGTTTTTTGTGCCATCTGCTTGTAGGTGTACCAGTATGATTGGTTTATTTGTCACCTTTGTGTTACAGCAAACCAAGTGCCAGTTCTTCATTTCATGATGCTGTTTTTGCTTTAATCTTGAGAGCTTCATAGGGTTCTCACCATTTTGGTATTACCATACCTCATGCTTATTAATGTATTTAGCCTCTGCACATCTCTGTGGTAAAGAAATATCATCATCCCACAGACTTGTTTAACATTTGCACTTGGGATCTGGGCTACAGCTGGAAATTAAGCCCTAATCTTCCCCCATCCCACTAGACTGTTTTTCATTCCACATTTGTCCATTTGATTTGTATCCTATTAATAACTTTAAATAAGTCTGCTAACACCTCGAGTCCTCCATCAGAAGTTTGTCACAGAAATGGCTTGTGGAGTTTGAGCTTTTCAATGAATCTTCTTGGCTAAGTTGTAAATATTAAAATAACTAACACTTTTTTTTCTTTTAAGGAAATGGTAAATATAGTTTTCTTGGAGACTTGATCCTTGTATTTATATTGAGGCGGCTTTATACTATTGATTTGATTTTTTTTTTTTATTTTTTTTTTTTTTTTCGTCTCTAGGAAGAAAAAGACAGGATAGTATTAGAATTTGAAAAATTATTTCTGTCTCCACATTCTGATTTGAATAAAGAGACTTCTTGAGGGGTGTTTCCTACTGTAACTGGTAAATTCTTCCTGGATTCTTGCACTGCCAGCTTTGTGCAGATGAACGTGCTACTCTAATGCTACATTGCACTAATTGCCATTGTAAGCAATGCTGTATGCAATATCTTGACCCTTGCATCAATTGCTAGTAGCTGTTTGTAGTGCTGGAAAAGACTGTTCTACTTCATAGATTTACCTTTCCATAGATAAAAATTGAAACTGGATTTCTAGGCCTAATTAATTATATTTATAGAGATATCTAGGTTGATCCCATTGTACAATAGCAGACAACTCCTGCCTCAGACTACCTCTGTTAATCCTAGCCCACCTGTACTTACCTGCGTACAACTTTAGACCTAGGCACCACTTCTGAAAAGTGGCTAGCAAATCAAGTAAGACTATATCTGGACTAAAATATTTTTGTAAATAAAAATAACCAAGAGGGGTTTTGGGTGGGGAGGGGTGTTGGGCTTGGAGAGCTTTTGCTCCGAGGACTCAAACAGCTTGAACTCCAGATTGGTTTCTTCAGATTCAAAGTGAATGGGCAACTTGATCTAAACACATAGAATTAATTATTGAAGCCTTTAGACAGGCCAGTAGGCTGGGGTAGCATCCACTTGTCTCATTGTATCCCAGTCAGGGAACTGTGCCACAAGCTGTACAAATTTTCATTGGCTTTGCTCAAGGCACATTTTAAAATCCATTTAGTTACGTTAGTACAAAGCTTGATCTGGATGGAAGCTAGAGTTGTTGAAAGGCTTGGGTTTAGCTTAAGAAAATTCAGCTTTAGCTGAAAATATCAATTTCTTGGAATGGAATTTTACTTAATTTCATTGGCTGGTACAAGGATCCCTTCCCCTCTGCCTTGGCATCTCTCCTTTAGGAGATACACTCAGAAGTAGTCCTACATGCCTGTAGAGGTCAGGAAATTCCTCTGCACAGCCCTATCTTGCCTTGCATACCACCTACATCTACCTTTTAAAAATGCTGTAATGTTCTCAAGTCTGTGATCCAACTTGAACAGGCATGAGGAAATCTATGTAAGCTGGACATCAGCTTATTGAATCCTTGTTACATACACCTGGGGATGCCCACAACCACAAATTGCCATCTTCCTACTGTTAACTTCTGGGCTACCAGGTCCAGGCTACCTTAAAGATACCCTTGCAACAGCCGACCACACCCTGAGAGTTAATGATAAATTTAATCTATACCCACCTTGCATGAACTAGATAGTTTTAATTCTATTTTGGCCTGAGATCATGCATACTTTTGGAAATTGGTTTGTAGGTCCCCAGCTGATCAGAGCTTAATGTGTACAGTTGGGAAACAAGAAGCAGAAGTGATGGCAGTAAAAGCAAATAATCGCCTGAGTCTTCAGAGATCTGAAGGCCGGAACAGACTGTTATACCAGAGGTCAGACTGCATGATTTGTCTCAAGCGACCAAATTTCATCCATCCACTCTTGTAGTAAGGTCAGTATAAATTTAATTAAGGTAAAAAAAAAAAAAAAAAGGCCGCTGTATGTTTGCTACACAACTTCACTGGTGCTGACACTACAACAGTTTTAACTTCTGAACACTTAAATCTAGGCAGCCCACAAACATACCTGTTAAGCTGAGGGGTGTTGCTTGTGCACACACAATTCAGCAAATATAGGAATGCAGTTTTACCCAGGCATCAAGTTAAATGTCTTATGAGCTGCTTTTCTTGAATACTATAAGAGTATACTGCAGTTTTTTAAAAACAGGTTTTGGTTTTTGGTTGCCTCAAAGGTATAAAGCAAACTGGTTGCTACCTAGAATTGCACTAATGTAGTCTGCTTTACACCAAGAACAAGCAGATATGATGCCACAGTAACAAACAGGGCTCCAATTAAGCTAAAAGAAAAACCTTTCTGAATGTGGGAATATTGCAGGTTTCAACCAAGACAAGGCATTAGTTGGTATATTAACCAGTTCACTGGAATATACAAGCAGCCTTATTTAATCTGCTTTTATAGCAGGTTGCTTTTTAGAATCAACTTGTCAGGCATTGACTCTTCAGACCCAAAATGCTAGGCAATTTTTTAACAGCCTGGCTGCATCCAGATGAGTGCAGATGTGCAGTATGAGGCAGCACAGATGGGTGATGCTGCTTCTTGTCCCTGGGGAAACAAACAGCCATGCTTGTGTTTATGGCCCTTAAGTCGTCTTTTATTCACACATTACACCAGTCCAATAATGATTGGTCTCTGCCCATATCTTCATGTCTTTTTCAGTTTTAAACCATACTGCATCGCAGTATAATGGGT